GAGAAGATATCTATATCTGTTGCATGACTTTGTAAATCTAGTCAAGTGATGTTCTGGTATTCAAGTATATTTTAATACTTTAGAGCAGTCAAAGCAAAACAGCAAAGAGTAGTGTGGTGGGAATATGTCCTTACCTAAATACAGAGGTTTTTTGCAGTGAAGTGAGTCTCCTTTCAGAGCTGTATTTAGAAACATAGACTGTAGTCTTTGTGAATTTTAAGATGGGCTGTTCTAAGGACAATACTTCTACATCCGTTTTAGAGGGATGGCCCATGCATGCCCATACATGAGGTAGGGTGAGTGAGATGAGGCAGTGATGGATGTAGGATTGCCCTCTAACAACTACACCACATTGCCTAAATTTCAGGGAATGCCCAGCAGCATGATCCACTTCCTTTACTTACCTAGGGTTGAAAAATATAGTGGTTTCTTCTGACTTTTCATATTAGTACAATGTAATTCCTTGCCAGTGGTTCAGCAAGGGGGAGCAGGCAGAGGAGGAGAGACCAATATTTCTTTGAGGCCTACTAGTTCTGGCAGAGTACTCTGCTGTTAGCAGCACCCCTTAACTATCATTCTGACAACAATCCCATGACAGTGAAACAGGAGTAAGTTTTCCAATGCAAAAATGCTCAAAGACCAGGTGTTTACAGATAAACATGCATACAACTGAACTATGTGTTTCCGCCTATTGTTTATGTAGGACTGTAGGCTGGCAAAAGCAAGATCATTTTATTTTAACTTAAACATTTATTAGATCTTTAATTTCAATTCTGAAACATCCAAGTTAACTAAGAGGTAGACATGGCAGGCTGGGCACCTTCAGAAACAAAGTACTCAAGACATCTCAGAATGCAGAGAAGGGGCTAGAACTCAAACCGAACAGCCTTGGATCCATAAACATGCAACAAGTAATAGCTGAGTTGCAATTTCTTAGTGGAATACTTTATGTCAACTGGCCAATATGGACTTCTACTTTTTAAAGCGGGTGAGGATTTATTTCCAAAGGGAAATGTAAACACCTTTTTAAAAATGGATGCAACACACAGGCAGAAGTCCACTGTACACATTGGTAAACAAGCTCTTTAAATAGTGCTCGGCAAGCTCATTTCGAGTGCTTTATGCAACTAAAGTCAACAACCCTTTCACCTAAAATTTGTCCCAAAGAATCTTCAATACTGGTGGCAAACTGTTCTAGACACTCTTGGGTAATAGCACTCCCTTCCCCTGGCTATGCATACACAAGTTAATGCTTAACAATGAATGAGCAGAGCAAAGGGAGTGCAGGAGAGGCAGAAGGGGAAGATGTGAAGGTGAAAAAGCTGCCCAATCAAAAGCTGTCCCCGGCTCATACCAGCATGGCACAATGTGTGTGTGTATACAGGAGAAGCCACTTTGAAGCCACTTTTTATGGATTTTCTCTCCCACTGCTCCCAATGGGACTGAAATAATACATTAGAGTCAGGCCTCACTTACTTTTCCTGTGTTCTGGGAGCTTGCTGGGAGACCTGGAGGGCTTTGTATCTAGCAAGCCCAAAGCCTCCCCTGCTTCACTCCCTGCAATATGGTGACTTGCCAGGGAAGATCACCTTCATCCCTCTGCATAGGTGGACTGGGAGATCTACTGCTGGTGAAGGGTGAGTAATAATAAAAATAATAATTATACAGCCCTTGGGGTGCCTACCCTCTATGTGAACAGGGATACAGGTATTAATAAGAATCCTTATATAATAATCCTTAGCAATATTTCACTTTCTCACTAAAAATACTTAACAATATTTATTCTCTTTTCACTTCCACACCTTTTCAGGTCAGCAGAATGTAGGTCATCTGATTGACTCAACAACTCTGTCATTTGAGTCAAACTGTTGACCAAGGAACACATGATGAAATCTCTCAGCTGCAAGTCTTAACAGTCTGAGCAGTGAATAAACATATGTAACACATATGGTGCAATCTTATAGTCTCTGAAAAATGCAGAAGGATGTTTTTGGAGCTCCCTCTCAGTGGTAAGAGAGGTCTGCCATTGGAAAAAGAGATCAGGCCATGCAAGCATCCTAGTTGAAAGGATCTGCGGCAGTGCTACTCTGGTATTAAATGTGTTAGCTAAACTGGATAAAGAAAAGGTCCCGTGCTTGTTTTCCTTCTAAGACAAATGAAAACCTGCCAGGAAGCAGGTGACTTCTAGTTCTCTTCGCCCCTAGGAGAAACTGGGAACATAAGATTAAGATCAAAGGTGGTTTGTTACCTATCAGCCGCATTAGACTCTTGAGTATTACATGGCAGGTAAGTGAAAACATGACACAAAAATCATTCACATGACTTGTGAATACAGGAAGCTACCTTATACAGAGTCAGACCATTGATCCACCTAGCTCAGTACTGTTCACACTGACTGGCAGTGGCTCTTCTGAGCTCCAGTCTTTATGGTAAAGAAAGCTCACAATATTGCTCAGTATATATATTTTGGTCCTGATTTAACTACTACTCATAAACCAATTTTTTTGCTGTTCCATTAATCCTGTTAATATTTAGGCTCTCATTGATATGCTGATATGATTTCCACTAAGAACAGAATACAGTCACTTAGCCTTATTAACAGAGTGGTTTGTAAACAACTTAGGATAGCTTTTTATGTTTTTACACAAGTGGCAACTTCCTATGCAATCAAACTTGTGTACTGCTACTGTGGAGCTGTGCATCGCGTGATAGGAGAAATAATAAGTCTACTTACTCAAAAAGTGTGAGAAGAGGGGAGACATGAGTCACTCATACTTCCTGCCACTACTTTTGTGTTAAGATGTGAAGTTACCCTTTATGCAGTTTCTTTATAAACAAGGAATATGTTTCTTGGTAACAAAGCTATAAATAATTAGATGCCCACTTTGGGAGAATCCTAAACCTATACGTGAATGCAAGGACTGTTGAAGTCAGGGCCACATTTGGGCCTTTCTATGAGCCACTAAGATTTAATTCAACAAACAGTAGTGATGGATACAAGCCACCAAAAAGGTTAACTGTTTGTGACAAAAGCCACCAAAACAATGTTGCAAGCCACTGCAAGAACATTATTTAACTTTTGTTTTGTCAATCCTTTGAGTGGCACTGTACTTATCAGATACACTATGTTTCATATATGAGAATATAGAGGTTTAAAATATTGTTTTGTTTTGGTGAAGTTGGTTGTACACTTCTTTGAGTTTCTGAAAAAGATTGTAGCCTTGGTCTCTGGTGTGCCAAACGGTCATTGATTTTTTTTGCCACTGCGGCCGAAAAGTTACTATTCTAGAATCTGCTCACACGGTAACAAAACCAGGTAGATTAACTTCTCATTTATGATACACATACTTATTCATTAAGTTCAATTACACTTGCTCCAAGGAGTGCATAGGCTTTTGAACATTAGTTTTGCACATTCTCAGGAAAATATTGCAGTACCAATTTTACAAAAGGCCAGGTGTGTTAAGATTTCAGAGTAAAGCAGTATTTCCAAATATAAAATACATGCAAACAGTTGTCATTTACAAATATTTCAAATATGTGTAAGCTGTACCTTCTGCCAACAGACACAGGTACACAATTGTTGATACCAAGCCTTGTCCATAATAGTTACATTTTAAGCCTAGCACACTCTCCACCAGAGTAAAATAGTTCTCTGGTTGTACTTGTATTTTCTCACATCAGTATTTTATCAGTTTCATTTTCTTGTCCAAGTTTACTCCTAGTGTACAGTACAAAATACCCAGACAACTGACATTCTCAATAGAAATGTTGAGATTCACAAGTAGCCCTCTGCATGTTTATTGAAATGGAAGTCCTCAAAACTACTTAACACTTCATTTCCTCAAATTCTACTAACAGCTGTGAAGCAGTTTACAAAAACATGACCAGTGCTTTTCACCTCAAGTGTTGTCACCATTTGGGAAGCAGGAGCCATCTCCTAAAGTGATGATTAACAATTAAGACTACCCAAATGTGTGTGGAAAACCAAGAGCAGGTCCATGTTTACTCAGAAGTAAGCCAGGCTGCCCAAGGGGCAGTGTGTTAAGTGTGTTTAGGATGACAACCCTGGTTACTTTGAGGGGGGGTAGGAGAGTGGGAAGGGAGTTGCTCGATTTTTAAGTTCTTTCTTTTCGTCTTAAACTTCCAGAGATATCAACCACATACCGTAATAAAATTCGTGAGCCCTTTAAAAAGGTGCCACAAAACTTCGCTGGTTTTGCGTCTTTAGGGCAGCGGAAAAGCCTTTTAAAAAAATACCACTGTTTGCTTGTTAATTAATAATTCCATTACTTCAGTATACCCAAAGACTCAAACTATACAGGTGTATTAGCTACAGGATACAACACTGAAGGGAGTTGTTGGTCATTTATTTATTTAAAAAGTAAAACTCTTGGGCGTTTCGCGAGAAGTCGAAAGGCGTTCGCAGCCACTTCTCACTACAACTCCCGGGGTGGGAGAAGAGGCGATAAGTGACTTGCCCAAGGTCAGCAGCAGCAGCCCAAGAGGAGGGGCTCGAGTGCAGGAAATCGAGGTCAACCGGCAGAGAGCGCCCCGCGACCCCCGCGGCCTAAGGAGGCCCTGAGCGAGGAGGTCGGAGGTCGCACCCCCCACCCCGCGGCCTATGTCAGCCGGCAGCGAAGCCGGCCGAGGCCCCGCCGCCCGCTCCTCAGGGGGCGCCCCAGCCCGGGGCCCCCCAGCCCCTCAGCCCGGCTTACCGGACGGCCTTCACTCCGCTGCCCAGCTGTGTCCGGCGCTGAGGGGGGTCGGAGGGAGGGAGTCCCCACGGTGCCGCCGGCGCCTCCGGGAATCCCGCCCCCTCCGCCTTCACTCGCCACCTCTTTCAGCTCTCCCGTCGCCTCCCCTTTGCCCCGGAGCGCGTCATCATCGCAAGAGGCTCGGCGAGCCAATGGGCGGCGGAGCGTCGTAATCGGAGGACGCGCAGGCGTCAGCCACGCCGGGAGGACGTGCTCGGGGGAGGAGGGGCGGGGAGGCTCAGCCCAAGGGCACCCTGGGACGTGTAGTTTTCCCGGAGGCGGGCGGCTTGAGCGCGTGACCCTGCCGAAACCGAAGCGCCGCCTCCGCATTGGCAGGAAAGTAGGTCGCGGGCTCTTAAAGCGTCCTTTAGCGCCAGGCGCTAGTTCTGGTTCGGCGGCTGCCGCGCAAAGTGCGTAATGGGTGAGCGCTGCTTACGGAAGGAGCGGAGTCGCGCGGGGCTGTTGCTCAGGCGGCGGTTGTTTTTCAACGGCGCGCTCGCGCGGTTTGTTGATTTCAAAGTACGAGGAAGGCGGCGAGGTTCCAAAAGGAGGAGTGGGAAGGACCTCAGGGCAGCGACAGATGAAGGGGAAAGTGGCAATACTGGTCCCTATTACTGTATAATATATCCTCCTTGATAAGAAAAGTGTGTATATCACTGTACAGTATGTATATAGCTTGAGGCCAGCAATGTACATGGTTGCCAAAGCTTCTGTTTAATTTTATTACTTTCCCAAGTAAATGATGTTTAGAGCAGCAGCAGGAGACTCCTACATTTTCCCTGCAGTCATGACAATGCTGGGGTTTAAGTAATATAAAAAGCAAAGGTAGCCCTATCGGCGGCACCCTCCCAAATCAGCTGAGCGATGCTTTTGGGGGGACCAGCCAAAATGTCACAAAAGTATCGCAACCTTCCAAGTCCTCCAGAACTTGTCATCAGGCACACACACTTCTCTGCTTTGTGTAATAACTTTGCCCAGTGAAGAGTCCTGGAGAACTCAAAAATTTGCCACACCGTCGTCAATATTTTTTGTTTTGTCCCAGTAAATATTCTTGCCCAACTGTGGATGTTGCAATGATGTAAGTGAGATTAAGGTGCAAAACTGCACATGCTGTGAGCGACCTTGAGCCGTTTCAAGAGTAGATATGTGTAATGTTGTACTGGAAGGTTGTAATCCTTACCAGGCAGTAATTATGCTTTCAGACAAGCAGTCCCAAGACCAAATGAGACCAATTTCCACTGATTGCCACATCCAAATTTCAGCAACCTTGCTCTTCATCCACACACTACATATGGGGAATTACTTCACAAAATTTTAAAATATCTATATTTAGTATAGATATAGCTTGCATAAGATTTAGTAAACATGATTCATCATACCTCATATAGTAACATAAAATTGGATTTAAATACTGTGCTCTTTAAAACAAAAATGGTTTATTGGCATTTCAGAAATGAATATGTCATGTTTTTATAGAAAAACAACAACAGTGGGAGGGCAGTCTCGCCTTTGTGGCCTGATTGTGAAGTTCCAATGGCAAACTGGGACTTTGAGAGGCAGCTGATACATCTGACCTCCAGCAAAGGGATTCTCTTAGGTACTTATTCAGAAACTGAAGACGTGTGTGTGTGTGTGTGTGTGTGTGAGAGAGAGAGAGAGAGAGAGAGAGAGATTTATAGGATTTAAATTTTGAATTTATATTGTAGTGTATTGGATTAAATAATGTAATAGGCCACAGCTCAGCAGTGAAGCATCTGCTTTGCATACAGAATCCAAGTAGGCCTGGAAAAGACCGCACTCTGAAACTCTGGAGAGCTGCTGCCATTCGCTGTAGACACTACTGAGCTATGTATGCAACTGGTCTGACTCAGGATAGGGCAGCTTCCTGTGTTAAAATGCATCGCCCCAAAAGCCTTTCTGGTCTGTTCTGACAGTTCCAAAGCAGATGACTCTTGGTAAGCCTGCAAGCAAGAAATTAATGCACTAACCATCTCCCATGATCCCCCGCAGCTAGCATTGAGAGGCATACTGCATCAGATATTGGAGGTATTACAGCATCATGGCTAGTAGCTATTGGTTGCCCTTTCCTCCATTAATTTCTCTAATCCTCTTTTAAAGTCATCCAAATTAGTGGCTATCACTACATCTTGCAGTAGTGAATTCTATAGTCCAACCATACAGTGTGTTTAAGAGTAGCTCTTTTTTCCTGCTCTGTATCTGTCAACATACAGTTTCACTGATGACACAGTGTGTGGGGAATCAAATAACAAAATAAATCTGTGATCACACATTTTTATAGCATTATCTTAAATGTATAGGATATGCATTTATTAAGTTTGAACAAATACTGTGTACACAGTTTACAGCACATTCAAAGTGCATTCTTTCCCTCAAAGAATTCTGGGCACTGTAGTTTACCCCTCAGAGCTACAATTCCCTGCAGCCATTAGCAAACTACAATGCCATAATTTTCTGAAGGACAGAATGTGCTTTGAATGTGCTTTAAATGTATAAGGTGTACACTTAAATTATAGCATTAGTATTAGTGTATTACAATAAAGCTGGAGCTTCTACATCAGCAGTTTGGCAAACCAATCTTCCACATGCTCAAGATCTTTCAGCGCAAGCAGAAAAAGGCCAAACAAAACAAACAAACCAAAATTGAATAAAAATGAGCCAGAATTGACTGGGTTGCTCAAGTAAGCCAAGCAGTCACTGGGACAGCAATGCAGCTGAGTGTCACAAAAGAATGTACCACATCATCTGGAACAGTCCAAGGGTTGGGGAGAGCAAACTTCACAGGTAGTGCAATCCAGAGCAGATGTTTGTGATACCAAATTGATTTGAGACAGCCCTGAACATAGTTCACTCCAGTAGATATTCTCACAGCCAGGGGATGATAATAATGGCAAATGGAAGATGATTTACAAACAAATAATTCCCTCAGCACTTTTCCAGTTTGAGCCTAGGTTATTTACTCAGAGGTACCAACCCTGAAGCCCTATTTGTGTATTTACTGCACTTGCCTGTAAAGAAACATGCAAGGGAGGGCAGTGGGAGAATGAGCATGCTGCCAAGGCCCACCCGCTATGGTGGATCACCTTTATTCCATATAGAGCCCTCCATGAGTTTGAGGGTGAAGATTTGCAGTGGGAACTCATGGAGACGTTTCCCCTGTGTGATCTAGAACCTTGCATAATATGGGTTCTAAACATTGTGGAAGCCTCAACAAGTGCAGGAGACTTCCCCACTGCAGACCTTCACTCTCAAACCCATGGTGGGTTCCACATGGAATTACTTGCCAGAGGGCTCCAGCCTTGGCAGCATGCCCCTAGCAATCCCAAATAAGTCTGCATATAGTGTTGTGACATTTCACAACAGTGGAATAAACAGTTTAGAAATGCCTTGCCCCCAATTCAGTATATAGAATGTGAGGTACAAATAAGCAAAGATGGTCAGCCATAGTTGTATGAGCAGCAGAGATTGGTTTGGTGCAAAAACTCAAAACTTCTTATTTAGTCATATGCAATTCTGCCTTACTGGGTATACTCCAGAGCACTATTTAAAATCTACAATTATCTATCCAACCATTTGAGAAATTACCTGTTCCTCTTAGCTATATGGGACGCGGGTGGTGCTGTGGGTAAAAGCCTCAGCGCCTAGGGCTTGCCGATCGAAAGGTCGGCGGTTCGAATCCCCGCGGCGGGGTGCGCTCCCGTTGCTCGGTCCCAGCGCCTGCTAACCTAGCAGTTCGAAAGCACCCCCGGGTGCAAGTAGATAAATAGGGACCGCTTACCAGCGGGAAGGTAAACGGTGTTTCCGTGTGCTGCGCTGGCTCGCCAGATGCAGCTTTGTCACGCTGGCCACGTGACCCGGAAGTGTCTGCAGACAGCGCTGGCCCCCGGCCTCTTGAGTGAGATGGGCGCACAACCCTAGAGTCTGGCAAGACTGGCACGTATTGGCAGGGGTACCTTTACCTTTTTTTATCCAACCATTTGAGAAATTACCTGTTCCTCTTAGCTATATGGCCTCCTCTGGTTTCAAGCACCTTCCCCCCTTCTTTGCAGTGCAGTAACAAATACCAGTCCCACCTCTCTTTTAAACCCTTCAAAACCTTTTCATTTACAAAGTCTTTTCTGATCAACCCACCTTGTACTACCTGTTAAAACTTTCAACACCCACCCCCAACATTGGTAGTCCTTCATCAAAGCCTTCCCCCTCACATTTCACCTTTGTCCCATCCATGTGTACTTTTCGAGTGTAGGCCCTATGGATACAGATTGTGTCAACACTATGTTCTTTACAGTGCCTCCTGGTCTTTTCTATCTTACTGCAATTTAGATAACATGTAGCATGTAATACAGTGTCTAGACTTTCAGGCTGGATATGGAAAATCTCTGTTCAGATCTTGCCTGCTATCAAGCTTACAGACTGTTGTTGGGCAAGTCACTGTGTTTTAGCCTAGTTATTGTCAAGGAAAATGCCAGTCCTTTTTGGAGGAAAGATGGGTAGCCATAACATTTTAAGGAATAATACCATTTTAGCAGAATATTGGAAACTCCTTTCATTTTCTCTGAGCATTTCTCACGCTTTCCATTAAGAAATACAAAAAACTGGGTTTATCAGGAGACACCTTGCTGTTTTCTTAGCGGTTGAAATGGGAATACAGTATGCCATCTCCCAAGGATAACAATTCTCCAGATCATTCTCCTTTCCTGTACTCCAAAATTTCCAGGGATTTTCTTTGTATCCCAGAATGAGAGACGGGGGCATAATCGCCCAGCATATCTAAATATCACTTTGTACCAAAAAATCTAGAAAGAGGCTAAACCTCAGAACAAATATCATACAGTGCCCTAGTTCACATGTAACACTGACAGATGACATGACTGGGTTCAGATGTAATGCTAAGCCAAGCATGTTTAGCTTCAGGTAGAGCAGCAGGCAGGAATAAGAAAGGAGTAAAGCAGCAGAATTTTCACTGAAAGCATCTGCACACCTGTATATTCATTCTTACCCATGGTTTGGCTTAGTGTTGTGTGTGAAACAAGCCAGTATGCAGTCATTGCACAATAAAAGGTTAGAGATATGAAGGAAGGAAGCACCTTTCAGGCAGCCAAAACACTGTTTTTCTTTTTTAGAAAAAAAGGATACTGTATTCCAAGCATCTGTAGCGCACAGATTTCATGGGATTTGGGGATCGTTCCAATTACTGGTTTGTTATTAAGGGAGCTAGATCAGGCCATTATCCTCTCAGTTTTTCCATGGGTGGAAAACAGCTTTCATCACTTTGAATTATTGTACCTTTGGCTTTGGATTTTATATAAAAAGAACATAAATCTGGGTCATTTGGTGTATTCCAAGAAATAGCTCTCTGGGATGCCAACAAATGTATGGATTAATGATTTGTTTAAAACCCTAAAAAATTTTTTTTAAAAAAACCTGAACAGTATTTTTAAAGCAAGTTAATTTGCAAGCAGAATGCTCTTCCTCTTATATATTCTGGACCCTTCAAATCTGTTGCCTATGAAATATATGCATTGCTGACAACTTTAGTAGCAGAAATGGTAAAAAAAAAGACTAAAAATGTTTGGAGAAAAACAGAGCTTGTAAAAATCCTGAGTTGTATTTTACAGAGCTCTAGTTTACAGGGCTCTTGCTTATTTCTATTGGCAATTTGTTTTTTAAAAATATAAAAGTTGTTGTTTTAAAAAGCAAGTATTGCAAATAATATTGTCAGTAATTGTTTCCAGTTTTTGGCTGGGCCTTCTGACTATTGCTCAAGTACAAATGATCCCTGTAGGTACTGAAAAAACAAACCTTTTTCATCCATCGCTCACTGGCAAGGAAGTTAAGAAAACAACAATTGCTGATGACCCTGTATTCCACGGGGTGGCTATCAGGAGTAGGATGACTACATATACTTGATAATTAGTGCTTAATTGGGGGGAAAAGAACTCTAGTTGAGCCTAAAGTTAGGCTCAGGAAGATTTCATGCATGGCAAACATTCCAATATAGAACATAGGAACCAGGCCTTCATCGAGCCCAGTTCTGTCTACTCTGGCTAACAGCAGCTTTCAATAGTCAAAGGCAAAAAAATAAATAAATAATCACCTGCAACCTGACCTCCTCTAACTGGAGATACCAAAGACAGAACCTGAGACCTTCTGCATGCAGAGCAGAGCAGGTAAGAGTGATCCCTTTCCAAGGGAGCATAAGGAAATTGTATGGATCCAACATATATGTTATTGCCTGTGACAAATGCAAATATGTATTTCATTGCATGTAAAATTTCTCTTTGCCCCTGTCCACCTCAAGCTACCTGCTATGTGTACACATGGCAAAACAGACTCGCATGTGTGTTTGTCATACTGACAAACTACACGCAGGATTCATGGCCTTTAGAAAACAGAACTTTCCTGCAGCTGTGTCAAGCTTAATACAGTACAGTGGTACCTCTGGTTAAGAACTTAATTCATTCCGGAGGTCTGTTCTTAACCTGAAACAGTTCTTAACCTGAGGTACCACTTTAGCTAATGGGGCCTTGCGCCGCCGCTGTGCGATTTCTGTTCTCATCCTGAAACAAAGTTCTTAACCCGAGGTACTATTTCTGGGTTAGCGGAGTCTGTAACCTGAAGAGTCTGTAACCCGAAGTACCACTGTACTCACAAAGCCCAGCAGTGACTCATGGGGTGGAAGCAACAACATCCTCATGGCAGCCATGTAATGCTCCTTTGAACAAGGATGGGGCAAGATGAGGTGGTGGTGGCAAGGTTGGGGTTGGCACCGTCATGCCTGCAGGTCTGCCACTGCCTTGGAGCTCTCCTCAACCTAGTCCCCTCACCCTGCTCTATTGCCATCTAGGCAAACACAGCATCACTGACACAAGAGGATACCACCCAAGCTGCCTGCAAGCAGCACATGTGGAGTGCATTTGTGATAGCTTCAATCTATACATGTGGGCTTTTAAGGTCTGTCCTCCTCTATACCAACAACAACAACAACCCTTGCATATGGAAAACTATATTTCATGGAGAAAGGTTCTCACCTAGTTCGGCTGGTTTACTAATTGCAGCAGATTAGGTTTTTGTGTTTGCAGGATGGGGTGGGGTGGGGGAGGCTATTGCAATTATCACCTGTTATCATTCTCTTTACTCTGACGCAAAAAATACCGCTGCTCACCTCCCCGATTAGGTTTTTCTAAGGCATCCTTCCTACACACTTCTGCCTTAACAAAAAATGGCTCTGGCCCATTTTCATCCAGTCTAGCCAATCTGTGGATATGAGAAAAGAATGGAGTAATGTTCCAGAATTTCCCCTGAACTTTCTAATGCTGTATTTCAGAACCAATGACGATAGTTTTAAGGAAATATTTGATTCTTCTTTTGGCTTATGACTTGCACTTGCTACATTGTTGCCAGTCAATGTTAACAAGATAACTTGCAGAATGCAATATGACCCTCGTCATTGGGATGGTGAAAATCAGCTCTCAGCACGCAAGGAAGTGTACAAATCAAACGGTCTTCCAGCAACAGACATAATTCTTTCGAAATGTCACCTCTTGGTGACTTGACCATATCAAAAAATAACACAAGAATTGGGTCTGACTGCAATAAAAGTTTTAAACCAGGAAGGAGTCCAACTTGGCAGAAAGTCCCTGTGCTGTGAAAGGCATTAGCAGCAACACAAAACAAATGTGCTCACAAAAACAAGGGGAGAGGGCAAGAACAAGGGATATTTAATGTTAAAAGAGAAACTGTACATCTAGGTCAGAGGCAAGGGGGATGAAAAAGGCCTTGTGACACCCATGACCATCTGAGTCCGCGTAGAGAATGAGGTGCTGTGTTTGTCGAATCCTGTGTTGAATCCTATCTGTTTTTCTCTCAAGTCCAGAGACACGCCGAATAAGCCCCTTTCCCAAAACAATCCAAGTAGTCCCAAGAGATCAGTCACCAGCTGTCATGTATACTGAGGTTAGATCAATACACCACACAGTTCTTTTTCCACAGAAGAGAAAATCCACCAACCAACAAAACCACTTCTGACAGTTTTGCCTTTCCAAAGCTTCAGCAGAGCCCCCTCCACTTCCGCTGCTGCCCGTCTTCATTCCACAAAATGCAGGAGAATCAGATGCCGGGGTTTCTGTCAGGATATGCAGGGGTAAAGCAGCACTTCTAGGTCAAAGGTAATGTTTTCCTTCCCCCGCTTGATGCAGGGGGACCATCTGCCATTGTGCAACAGTCTCTCTTCAATCCACACATCAACCACAGCAGGCACGGACACTGCCTTTTGAATCATTCTTCCCATATCTAAAACAGGTAATTTGCCTTGTAGTTTGGAATCCCACAGTGTGTTTGGACAAGAAGCAGAAAATGACACAAAGTCCTTTTGGAAATCGACCTGAGCGTGGAGGGCACTCCTTTGGCTGTGTCGAAAAAGGCACAGAACACACCCAAGGTGAAATCCAGCCACAAGATAGCAAAGGGAACATATCCCATCCTCCTGCTTTTGTGATAAAGGAGCTGTAGGTAGATCCTTTTCGAGGACCCTCAAGAATCCCTTTTATCCTGGATGCATTGTGTCAAGGTTGGGAGGGAACCAGCAAACAAATACCTCCCCCCGCCCCGCTTTGCTCCCCTATTAAATAACAAAGGAGCAGCCCAACCATCTAGCTGTTCTAATGGAAACATTTTAGATTTTTAAAAGTCTCTTAAATAAATGTCTTTAATTATTATCGTCATCACCATCTATTTATTTATACAAATATATAAAATAGATTTATATAGATTTATATAATATAGATTTGTAGCTCTTGTGGGCCCTTCATTTACAGACGTACTGATCGACAATCTCTGTGCACTTTTTACACTTGACGTAACAGCACCAGTGAAACTTGCAGTGGCAACGCTCGACCTGCACACTCTTGAACTGGTCGTAGCCTCGGCCACAGCACATCAGCTCACAGCCGTCCATACCCTCTGAGGTCTTATTACAGAGCCGGCCCTTGGTGCCCAGGGAGCCCGTGGTTTCGTTGCGCAGGCAGTAATCAGGGCTGGGGTCGACGTACACCAAGTCCTCTGGAGTAGGCGAATTGAAGCGGTTGTTCACTAGCTCCAGCTTGCCCTTGCGGCTGATCCTCATGGCGGCGGCGCTGTCGTACTTCTCTTTCAGGAGGTCTCCCACTTTGCGGAAGTCAGCCAGCTGCAGCCAACAGGTCTTGAGGCTGCAGGAACCTGAGACGCCATGGCACTTACAGGAGACATCGGCCAACTTGTACACTGCCTATGGAAGGAAGAAGGCAAGGTGGGGTCAGACAAAGTGTTCAAACAGCACTAAAATCTGGCACAACATAAGCAATAACTGGTGCAACCTTATGCACAGAAGCAAGCCTCACTGGACTTACATCATCAGCATCATTAATTATTATTTTCTTATACTGCGCCCATTCTCATAGCAGTCCAGTAAGGTAGGTGGATATAATGAACATCACAGCTATGTTTGAACCTGCGTCCTCCTAAACCTAATCTAACACTTTAAAGCATGGTGGCTCCCTGTCCATTTTCTGTTACCTGGAAGATTGTATCCAGGTCCTATCAGAGCAACTTACAAGAAATGCTCAGATCCCAAGATCACCTATGGAAACTGTACTCATAGATCCACCTGTAAGATCAATTGGGTTGGCAGGTACCTGAGACAGGGCCTTTTCATTGCTGGCCGCCCCAAGGACTGTTGGGTGCACACAGCTCCACCAATACAGGCCTTCAATCAGGCTCTGAAGGTCCATTTATTTCAAGTGACTTTCTCTTAAAGGTTTTTTGGTGCACCCACCCAACCGAACCCCAAATTGCTTTAAAGTGTTTTAGCTAATTTTAATGGCATGGTGCTGGTCTTGCTACTAGATTATGTTGCCGTGTAAAAAGGTTATTCAATGTAATGGTGAGATTGTATTATATGATTATGTGCATTATATTTTTATATTCCTTGTAAGCAGCATTGTAAGGGCTTTAAACTGCCCACGTGTTGTTATTTTTCTCGGATGGATGTTTGTCAGATAATGGATGCAACTCCCACTAGGAGTAAAACAACAGGGAAGAAACAATGGGATGGTGTGTGGGTGAGGGAACATACTTTTACAGGAAGTTGGCACAACCCAAGTTGCATCATGCGACCTTTATGTCTAGTTTAGCCAGGGTGGTGTTGGAGAGATAGAATATACACCACAAGCCAACAAGCGCATGATTGCAGCAACTATGTATTTGCATCTTGTTCGCCACCTGGTGGTCAGTCACTTGTCTACTCCCATTTTCCCATTACTGAATGGTAATTCAGTGGTAATTTTTCTAGATTTGAAAAGCTGGTAAGGAGTATAACAGTCCATGAATTTTGTAACAGTGGCTACAGAATGTCATGTGAGTTGCTGTTAAGACAAGGTTCAGAATTGAGTGCAAGCACGTTGACTGAAATTTGTTTTCCAATATCTGAAAATGCCTGTCACAATTTGGATGCCTCTGAAACTGAAGTCTGCTGTGGAAAATGTGGACGTCAGAGCCAATGATCTAAACGAGGAGAGATTTCCCCCACTGTATATTCTTCATCATTATATTTTTAGTGTAATGGTTTTTTAATATAATAAAAAACACCATGCATCTAAAAATGTAATGTGTAAGGGAGACAAATAATACATTTGGAAAAATGTACGGATACATTAATCTGAGTCAATTCTATCAAGCATACACTGTACAAACCCAGGTTTGCTGCTATGTAATCTGTACAGTGGCCTTGAGATAATTCTGTACATACAAAGCCAACCTGAGAATCAAGTTAAATCAACTCCTATGAAAAAGCAAACTGACCAAGATAGGAAGTTTCAGTAGATGAAAAATAGCCCTATATAGAAGAGTGATAATGATGCACATGAAGCTTGAATAGAGCCACTGGCTTGATCACCTGTGGTGAGTTAAAAATGCCTCCAAGTAATCAGACAAAGATGCCTTGGTCCTTTCCCTCCCAGCTATGAATGTGCCACAAATGGTTAAATAACACAGAGGATCCATTAGTATTAGGCATTTTAGTACTCTGAAGGTACAACAACCCTGCTGAAACTAAGGCCATATACACACCATAGATTTAAAGCACATGCCTTTCCCCAAAGATTTATGGTCAGTGACTAGATGAGAAAACCCCTGGAAAGCCTGCATACGCTACCTTGAGGCACCACCATCATGAAAGAAAGGTCTGCTTTAAATACATTATACAGTTTTGTTTGTACCAGTAATTTATGTACACCTAATTGGAAGGCTGATGCGTGAAGCAGCACTTTCAAAGAAATACAGTACCTGAACCACAGAATTCTTGTCTGTTTTAACACAACACTCCCCCCCCCCCCCCGCTCAAACCCTACAAGGCATGTTACAAAATTCAATGTGTCTGCCTGGTCTTAGATCAGAGATGAGAGATTCATGGTGAGCTGCTGGATGCTTACTGCTTAATAAAATCTATTACCCTCATGGTAGCCATGCATCTTTTAAAAATCTGTATTTCAACTTTGAGTCTTTATGACAGCTTTTTAAAACAAAAAAAAATTGACGTCAATCCAAATGTGAGTGAATACCATGGAGTCTTAAAAAAAGAAATCTCCCTCAGGAAAGAGGAGAACTCAGCCAGTATCAGAGACATCCTGAAACAATCTCTCTCTGGCAAAGTTATGATCTGCTCCACTTAACTATGGTGGGATAAGTCCATCACGGAGAGAACCATGATGATGGAAACAGTCTTCAAACCAATTTCTAATTATAGGTGAGTGATGCAGATAAAGCACTTGGGGCCCAATCCAAGTGGGTTTGGAATTCTGGCTTTGCAAGCCTGGAAAGCGTTCTTCTGCTATATAAAGAAATATTGATAGGCCTTGGAGATGAGCCTCCTGGCTTAAGAAAGCATTAGAACAACTTTCTTTCCTTTCTAAATATTCTGCTATACTTCTGGATTTTTTATTTTATATTGAGTTCAGTCCAACAGCTGTATCAGAGCCAGGAAACCTAAGCATATTCTCCTCCTGCCTTTTTACATTCAGGGTGTCCTTTGAGCAAGGTCTCACCATTGCTTTGTTGTGAAACCAATTTCCAATGCTGTTTTGGTTGCAAAATTAAAACATTTATTTGTAGGCCTAATTTGAGGTGCTGGTTCTCACTTGAAAAGCCTTCAGCAGTCTAGAACCAGCATACAAATCTCATTGTCCTCCCGCAAAGGACAAATTTCTTGAATGCTCAAGTCAACACTTGAGGTTCTGTTACATAACCCTTAGCTTTCTGAAGTTTGGTAGGTTTGAGCACTAGAAACAGGACCTTTTTGGTTCTAGCACCTTTTTTAGGAATGCTATCCCCAAAGAAGCTTGCCTGCCTCCATCACTATTCTGTTTTTACTGCACTGTTAAAATCCATCTTTTCCAGAGGGCCTTGGGGGAATGCAGGAGTTTGGTGGCCATTATGGATTCTGTTTTTCTGTTCGTACTGCAGTGGCGTCCTTTGTTGTTTGTTATTTCAATGTCCTTTTGTTGCTCTTGCTATTAATCAAGCATTGCAAAGAGCCTTGGATAGATAGATAGATGATAGATAGATAGATAGATAGATAGATAGATAGATAGATAGATAGATACTACTAAGAAAAGTAATTTGATTAATTCATTAACTCAGTGCCTTTAAGTATGTGCAGAATGACGCTCCCTTGAACTGTGCAACCACAAACAGCCCCTGCACATGTGAGATGATTATGAGGAGCTTCTGTAGCAAAAGCCAAGGATGTCACTTCCAGGGAGGCTTAAGCCCCAGTACCTTTGGGGGGGGTGTAACTTTAATTAATTGTCATTATCAGGAAAAGAGAAGAAGTCACGCTTCCTTTTTCCCATATGGGCAAATTAAAGTGTAATCCCACACACTGCCACCACACCCTAACCAACAATAGCATCCTTCAGTACTTAACTGAAAAATGTGTAAGATTTCAGCATTTTTTATTATTATAAAAAGGAAGATAATAATAACTAACATGCAAATGAAAGAGATTGGGGGGGAATAGAAGAGGGGGAATTGGCAGTTGAGGAGATCCACCATGCAGGATTAAAGGTTAATTTGGGCCTTGCTGCTTCAACAAATGTGAAAGCCTTGCCATATGGCTGAAAATGTTTCTGGAGGGCCTCATCTATTAAAGGATTCCACCCCCTCACTTTTATGTTGAAGTCTAGCATATCTTTTACTATTGTTCTGTTTCAGAATGAGCTCTCTATATACTCTGAGCATATGGAGTTTTAGGGGCAGGTGAGTCCGCTAGAACCAAAGTATAAAATGAAAGCCACAGCAAAGAGGCAAGTGTGAGGTTTAACTTCCACATCATGCCCAAATGTGTGCATTTTTGCAGATGGCTGCAGGAAAACACACATAAGAATAGCACACGGTTCCCTTACAGTGGAAGGTGGGAAGGCGAGGCTCCCTAGCAGTGCCAGTAACCATGCTGTATGACCAGACTGAGATTGTGAAAACCATCTCAATGCCAATGTACACTGAATAAGACTTGGCTGGTTGAGCCTCAGTCTCAAGTCCAGAGTGAGTGATATTATGGAATTTAAAGTTGCTTTCCATGAAGTTCATGAGACAGAAACCCTAATTCTGCATTCTACTTCCATTATCTAGAGGCCAAACCAGATGTAATAGTGGCAGACTGTCTCTTTAAATGACAGCCTTCCTCAGTCATGTACAAAAAGCCCATGGGAGCCAATTTTAAGAATAAGCGGATTCTGATCTCTGTCCTAGCTAATTGGACCTAACGATAATTTTAAACAAGAGCTCCCTCCAAGAGCTGCATGGCAGTCTAATCAATCAAAACATGGCTTGAGAGCCAGATGTGGCATGGAAGCTCTCTTCTAAAGACAAACAATTTCTATTTATATCAGGCAATCCTAAATTGATTACCTGGATACCAATCTAACTGTGATGAATAGCACTTGCTTCAAAGTGATGCCGGCACAACTCTGTATGCCTACATAAAGGGGGATATTTGGCGCTAAGAAAGAAATGGTTTCCTGATGTATCTTCTTTGCTGAAATGCAGGTAGCTACGAGCTGGACCATTTGAAGAAAGATTTTGACTGAGCTATGTAAACAATGTGAAGAGTACAAGTTTCCAGAGGAAGCTAAGATGTCTGGACGTGAAACATAGACCAACTGGACTCAATCTGCAAGCGGAATTTGTTTAAAATCTGTCCCTCTTCGGCCTCCACCTCAAATTCCTTTCTGATTCTTCCTTTGTAAAGAAGTGGGATGTAAAGGGAATCAACGGGCTAATTCCTATGTGGTTAATTAGCCAAGCCTCCTCTCAGCCTTGCTTGGCACTGGATGGAGTGGCTGATGATTGAGGTCTACTACATGTTGAACGGGTAAACAACGTGGCAGGGCTGCCAAAGGGAGACAGATAAGGAGAGACCAAGTGGAGAAAGAGACAGATGGAAGGAAAGGGCAGGCTAAGATAACCGTCAAAGACAAACAAACAACAGGCAATAAAGCTAAAAGTTTGGGGCCCTAAAAAATTCAAGAGTGCAGTGGAGCAGCAATGGGGTCAGGACTGTGTGGAAAACTGAAGCAAATTCAGCTCCATTCCCACCCCCTTATGGCTCTTCCTGGGAACTGAAGTGGGACAGAATTCGTCCTCCATCACTTGAGCTGCAGACACCAAGGAAGGGGGAAAGGAAGTGCTCAGATGCTCCTTAGCGATCAAGGGTGCCCCATGCAGTAAGACCTGGTCTCCAATCCAGGAAGAACAGAGGGGGGCAAATTCACTTGTGGAGAGACAATTAAACAGAACACAGCTAGAATCTTTAAAAAAAGAAGAAGCAACATTAATAGCAAAAATGGCACAGGCAGTTAGTCACTCATCACTAGTGATGTTAATGGGCTAGGTGGAGCGACAGCCTGACAAGTCCGTATCTTCATGTGTCATTTGTGCAACTGCATTCATTATTGCAATTAACGCACTAGCTAGGGTGGGGGTGAAAGAATGCTATCAGCCTGAGAAGTTTGCTCCAAGAAGGTTTTAAACTGAGAAGCAGATTTTATATGTTTTCTTTAAAATGTATTTTTAAAAATAAAATATTACACATGTTCTCAGCCAAATAACTGCACTTGTAAAATGTTGTTTCCTTGCATCAGGAAAACATGAATCAGAAGATGAAATTGGACACATGAGCCCTGAAGATACACATACACAGCCTTCATTCAACAGACCTGGCCCCTCTATTTTCTGAGTTAATTCGTGTCACATTTCCAACAGTTTATGCCCTGTGTTCAGGTCTCCTGATCCAACTGCAGTTATTCACATGTTGGCAATTGCACCTCACAACAGAAATTCAATAGAAATTCCCCTTACCCCAGGAGAAGGAATATACAGTGGTACCTCAGGTTACATACGCTTCAGGTTACATATGCTTCAGGTTACAAACTCCGCTAACCCAGAAATAGTGCTTCAGGTTAAGAACTTTGCTTCAGGATAAGAACAGAAATCAGGCTCCGGCAGCACGGCAGCAGCAGGAGACCCCATTAGCTAAAGTGGTGCTTCAGGTTAAGAACAGTTTCAGGTTAAGAACGGACCTCCGAAACGAATTAAGTACTTAACCTGAGGTACCACTGTAGTTCAGTGGGAGAGCATCTCCTTTACATGCAAAATGTCCCAGGTTCCAATCCCAGCAACTCCATGTACAGGTATGAGACACCCTTGCCTGAAACCCTGGAGACCACTGCCAGTCGGTGAAGACAATACTGGGCTAGATGGAGCCATGGTCTGACTCAATGTATAGCAGCTTCCTATGTTCCTAACAGGTGGCACCTTACCATCTCCATGTCAGGAGAAAAGCTTCATCTGTTGAACTTCTGTTGCCTGCCATGCAGCTATTAAAGCAGAGGAGGTCTCTCTCACACAAAAAGAGGACAACCCTAGTTGTAGAATTCTCAGTGTCCAAGGAACACATATTTCCCCTCCATTTTTTGCACATTTTTCTAGGTCCTTTTGGAAGAGTGGGACATAAATATTTGCCACTTCTTACGAATTATTATTAATGATATTAATGCATGACAGGTAGGAATAGTTCCATGATCACTGGAAAAGGCAGTGTAATAATTAGCATTCAGGTGCTTGAACTGTGTGCTTTTGGTTTGTTTACTGGCATTTATTATTAGGTTCAGATAAACTGTTGGGTCTTATAAACTGGTCTCATTGTTAAGAATGCAGCACACTGGTTACAATCTAAACTTGCCTCTTCCCCAAAGAGAAAGTGCTAAAAAAGGATCTTACTCTGCGGCCGGCCTCGTTGTTCTGTAGGTTCATGAGTGTGCGGGCCTGCTCCTCGGATCCCTTGGCATAGTTCCTCTCCCTCTCCCTGGCATCCACAAATTCCTTGGCGAAACGGTAGCCATATTCCACATTGTCCCCGCATCCGCCCCAAAGCCAGTCTCGGGGCAGGTCCTTCGGCCGGGCTGTCCGGCTGCAACCGCAGGTGGAAAGCTCCCCTTCACGGCAGGCACGGCTGATGGCATTCACCACCCCTGCAGCGCTAACAGCGTAAGTGAATGCGGTCTCTCGGCTACCTGGCGTAGAGAATGGGAAGGTTACAAAAATACATAAATCTCGGTTAATAGAGGCTCTGAGGGTCTAGGGATTTATACTGCAATGCAAGCTTCTGCAGTTCTGTATTGCTCACACATTTAATTGTCCAGGCCATCATCCCTCCATGGGAGTAAGTTCAGTGTGGGAATCACCTACAACAGTTCTTCAGTGCATCTGCAATCATACACAATTACCTGGGAGTAAGTCCCACTGTATGTGGTAGGGCTTACGGATTTATTTTATTTATATACTGCCCTAAACCCATACATCTTCTGAGAAAACATATGTAAGTTCAGAATTTTGTACCAACTGAAGATGAGACTCTATTCTCTGAAGGAAAATCCCCCCAACTGCTAGGTAAAATAACTCAATTTGGGTTCTATTGACTATTTGCATAGCACACCACCCAAAATTAATTTCTACCTTAGCTAATATAAGGACTGTCAAGTTTCTTTTGGGGCATCTCTGGACTGGTGCCTTTTTCTGTTTTGCAGGTGTATTCTGTAATATGCCATTGATAAAATAACAGTAAATTGGTGGTGGATTTATACTGGACTGTCTACAAGTTATTCCACTTTATTAGTTGTTCCGCAATGCTTCTCCAACGTTACCACATGATTGCCGTCTGAAGGGGCACTCTTGTACTAAACCACAACCACAACAAAACCCTGGAACATTTGTGGTATGAAAAGTTACAGGATTTCAGCAAGAAGCTATGCACCAACTGGAAATGAAGCTGTATGTCTGCCACAAAGCTTTTGCAGTATTGAAAATAGGATTGTATATAACTGCCCTGATACCATCCTGAGCATAAATAATCATGAATGAGCAAGAAAAAGGATGTCTGGAGGGCCCCTTGATTCGTTTTCCACTGTGAGAACAGTGTTGGGATTAGATGCCTTTGGCCCAATTCAGCAGCCTCTTCTCATGCTCTTCTACCAGTTGCTGGGAATCACAAATTAGAAGAGTGTTGCTGCACTCAAGTCCTGCTTGTGGGCTTCCCACACGCACTTGTCTAGCCACAGTAAGAACAGGATGCTTGACTAGATGGGCTTTTGCTCTGATCTGGCAGGGCTCTTGCTATGTTCTCACTGAGTCCTCTCCCCTCTTTCCAGACAATTCCACAGACAACCTTTATAGATAATGATAAGTCCCACCCTCCATCTTACTCTAAGACCAGAAGGTTGGCCAGGCTCCTTTGGGGCTAAACCACAGGAACTTACAACAACAGATCCATTTGCTTACGTGCATCTGTGAAAATCACACAGAAAGTAAGCGGGAAAGGATTCGGTCCAGCTTAGTATATACTTTTTCCAGATCCTTCCTCCAGTACGATCTTACAGTACTCTCTTCCCTCTCCCTGTGAATTAGGTTAGACTGAAAGATAGGCCAAACTTCATAGCTGAAGGGGTGGAGGATTGAGCCTGGGTCTATCTCTGAATCCACCACTCTAGCCACACTGAAGCCTTCCCCACACCAACCCATATATTTAAATTCCCCTAGTCCCTCTCCCCAGGCTTTTTTTCTGCCCCCCGGGGCTTCTGAAACTAGTGGTGAAAAATGAACCAAGGCTGTATGCCACAGGAGAGGGTAACAACCAGCTCCCACCCTCAGGCAACACTTGCTCCTTCAATCTGCTCGCGCTCTCTCTCTCTCTCTTACACACACACACACACACAGCCCATTGTTTATGTGATTTGTGGCAGATCTGGGTTTAAACACACATCTGACACCCAGATCTGACACCGCCAAGCCCATTTTTGCCCCAAATCCAAATCCTAACTTCCCCGTCTCCTGCCAGTTCCAACAGGAAACCAGTTGGCAAATATCCCACAATAATAGTATTACTCAATATTGACACTAGCATTCAGATCCAAAGCTATGTGTTTGTGCACAGAGCTCCATATGAGCAGGAGCTGCCCTGGATGAATGTTAGGAAAAGTTTTGTGTGTGAATCACTATCTGTGTATGGGAGCAATCTCAGCTTGTGCATAATTCTGTATGTGCACTGGAGCCCAAGAATGCACCCTAGAATGCACCATATTGGGATTTTGCTGTTGCTATGGACAGAGCAACCACTTTAGCTGTGTGTTGTTTGAATTTGCTGATCTTAAAAGGAGTAAGAATGTGTCACTCCTCCCCTCAGATATCCCTTATGATTACTCAAGGTTTTGGTATCTTTGGGTAGAAATGACAGCAGGGAGACAGATGGTTTATGATTCCTTTACTTCATCAGACATCCTCTCATCCTTGTTCCTTTGAGTTGACTTCCCTTGGGACCTCTTATTGACTCCATGCTTTGGATACAACAAAGGACAGGCTGGGCTCCATATAAGCCAGGATGTGTGTGGATCTGCTCAGTTATTGGCACAACACAGCCCTGGTTGAAAGAGACCTCCTGCAGTGGCTGAATCACGCTAAATTGTAAGTATTCACGTCACATTTTTATTGTGGCTCCTACCATTCTGCTTCATTCTCAGCCGCCTCAAGAAGGCAAAGGAAAGAAATATGTCCTGCGGGATATTTGGAAGTAAAATAAACACTGAAATTGTTCAGGGATTTGAAAGAGTTCCTATCACGGCTATTAGCCACAAAGAGGCAGTGTGTTCATAACTACCAGATTCTCAGGAATAACCAAGAGGGAAGTGCTGTTGCCTTCATATCCTACTTTGTCAGCTCCCCAGAATGCTACTGCTGGAAAGAAGAATGCTGAACAGAAAAAGTCAGGCTTTGGGTCGGATACAGCAGGGCTCTCCTTACTGTTTTTAAGTTCTTTGAGCAGCTTAGCAAGGTGCAACATTCAAGCAGAGTATATGTCACAGGTGGGCAACCTGCAATCCTTGGGTTAAGTTTTTTTATTTTTTTATTTTTTTTAAAATATTTTATTTAGGATTTTCTTGTTTTACAGAAGTGTAATGCCTCGTATTTTCCCCCCCATGTAACATTTTTACAAATCCGTTTCATTTGTTGAGGCATTAGGGGGAGAAGGGGGGGGGAAGGGAAAAAGAAAGGGGGTGGAGGGAGGGAAGATGGATGGGGGTGGGGTCAGGTGGTGGTGTTTCTATTATGCTTAATGTATGTAGAGTTTGGTGTCAGTGTTGTTTGTGTTGTTCACTTGTGTTCCTTTGGTGGTGAGAGAGTTTGGGGTTGGCCTAGGGTGTGATTGTTTGTTTGTGATTGGCTGTGGTGATCTTTGTTTTCGTGTGTGAGTGGGGTGGGTGGGTGTTTTGGATCAGGTTAGCCATAATGATTTGTATGCTGTTGGTGGATTATTGTCATTGTCTTGTTGGGCTGTGTATGTGATAAAGGGGAGCCATACCGGGGTGAAGGTGTCTTCTTCTGTTTGTCCCCGTGTCAGTTTCAGTTTATTAGTTAATTTTTCTAGTAGGGCTGTTTCCCATACTATTT